ATCGTGGCTGCTTCCTTAATTATTCATGTTGACCAAACTTCCAATTTCCATATATACACATGAATATATACACATGTGAAAAACAAAACAAAACAATATATCTTAGATACACGCCATATATTACCACTGGTAACAATAGCAGTCCTGCCAACAATGCTAATCAGGACACCTACCCGGTAAAATAATACAGTCTGTAAATACATCATCAAATGATTAAGCCCTGTTCTCCATGTACTGTGACAGAACCTTCTGTTTATAAAGTGCTTTAAAGTGGTGAATGTTTTGACATTGTTTGTGTTCAAGCCCCAAAATATTCCATAGTTTAACCCCACATACAGACACGCCCGTATTTATATAGTGTATTTTTCCACAATGTGTTGCACTGGCCAAAGCACTTTACAGGAGATGATCCACTATTCACCCATTCATACACCGATGACGACAGGCTGCCACACAATGGTGCTAGTCAAGCCACCGGGAGCAATTCAGGGTTCAGGGTTCAGTGTTTTGCTCAGGGACACACTTAAGCATGCGGGGAGACCAGGAGTCGACTGGTTAGGAGACGACTGCCGTTCCTTGTGAGCCACAGCCACCCCGACTATAATATACAATTGCTCTCACTGCGTGAATAACCTTTGTATGTCAGCAGGTAATAGGTTGTGAAATGCTTTAAATAAAAGTTGTGCCATGTTGATTTTAACAAGGTCCTGTATTTTTAATAACTTTGATTTGAGAACAGTGGATTTGTGTGTTCAAGATATTCAGCCTTGTGTATGATACTCATAGCCCTTTTTTGTAAGATAACGAGTGACTGTATTGAATTATTGTAATTATTTCCCCATATTTCAACACAGTAAGTTAGGTACGGCAGAATCAGGGAACAATACAGGGTATGGAGTGTATCATAATAGAGGACATGTTTGGCTTTATTTATTATTGCAAGACTTTTAGAGACTTTGGCTTCTATGTGTCTGATGTGAGATTTCCAAGTTAGTTTGTTATCTATAGTAACCCCTAAGAATTTAATTTCAGAGACATTTTCAATTTGTATCCCATCTATCTGAATCAACCTCTCCATTTTTGTTTTATAATTACCAAATAGTATGGCTTTAGTTTTAATTAAGTTTAAAGATAATTTATTACTATCTATCCATTTTTTAATTTTCCTTAATTCAATAAATAAGTGTATCATAATTGTCATCACAATAGAATATATTGGTGTCATCGGCAAACAACACACATTTAAATAACTGTGAAGCATTAAATATATCATTAATATACAAGTTGAATAGTTTGTGGCCCAATACTGACCCCTGAGGGACACCACAAGAAATGACATGACAATTACATGAGGACTCACCCATTTGTACATACTGTATTCTGTCGCTTTAGCTCTTTACCCATTTACCAGCCATCCCTCGTATCTCATACCTTTCAAGCTTCATTAATAGTATTGCATGATTGATGGTATCAAAGGCTTTTTTCAGATCAATGAATATACCAATGGTGAATTTTTTTAATTCTCCAATGCATTTGATAATTCTTCTGTTGCATTAATTAGCACCAATGATGTAGGTCTTTTGCTTCTGAATCCATATGAACTTTCATTAGTTTATATTTTTCAACAAATTTTTCTAATCGAGTGTTAAATACTTTTTCTAAGATTTTTGAAAATTGAGGAAGCAGTGAAATTGGTCTGTAATTGGTAAAATTATGCTTATTTCCATTTTTGAACAATGGAATGACTTTTGCGATTTTCATTTTATTGGGAACACAACCATTTTGAAGCGACAGATTGCAGATGTGCACTAGAGGTGTTTTAATATTGTTTATGACTTTTTTTTAATAGTGCCATATTGATGGAGTAACAGTCCATAGAATATTTACTTTTGGACTTTTGGACAATGTCCATTACTTTTTTCTCGCTAACTGCTGAAAGAAAGATTGTATTTGAATTTTTTTCAATATTGTGCTCTATTTGTTCATCTGGAATTCTTGCTGCCAAGTCAGGACCAATGTTTACAAGAACATTAATAAAACTATGCCCTGTTCATATTGTGATAGTCCCCATTTGAGTCAACAAAATTCTGGGTAAGTGTTTTTTTAATCATTTTTTGAGAATGCTATTTAATACATCCCATGTCCCTTTTATATTAGTTTTATTATCAATTATTAATTTGTTATAATATAATTTCTTAGCTATTCTCATTACCTCAGTTAACTTGTTTTTATACAGCTTGTATATTTCCTCAGCTTCTTTTGTTTTCAATTTAATGAATGACTTATAGAGATTATTTTTCTTTTTACATGCATTTTGTAAGCCTTTAGTCATCCAGGGACATTTTGTTTACTGTAAACTGAAATAGGGCAGTGCTTATCATATAGTGTTGTAAATATTGCCAAAAAGATATTATAGGCTCTGTCTGTGTCCATCTCGCCACACAGAGAGCTCCAGTCTTGCACTCTCAGGTCATCATTAAATGCATTAATTGCTTCTTGAGTTTGCAATCTTTTACAAATTGCATTCCCGATGTCTTTAGGTTTTGACACATTGCAATCATATATGGTAAAAACGGGTAAATGGTCTGTAATATTACAAATAAGCAGGCCGTTAATTGTGTTATTTGTCAAGTTATTTGTAAAACTGTTATCAATTAATGTTGCACTATGTGACGTGATTCTACTGGGTTTAGTAATTGTTGGGAGTAAGGACATGGAGTACATTCTTTCAATGAATTCATTGGTCAGTTTGTGTTTGTTTGGATTTAAAAGGTCAATGTTGAAGTCCCCACAAATAAATAAGGGTTTATTGTTAACTGCTGAAAACAGATTTTCCATCTCATTGTTGAAAATATCAACACCTGACCCCGGTGATCTATGGACACAACTTATAATAATGTTTTTTTTCTTTCCATTATTGATTTTTATGGTTAGACATTCCATTACATTATCAAGTACAGTAGACATATTGTTTAAAACCGAATATTTTATAGATTTATGTACATATAGTGCGACCCCACCTCCTAGTTTATTTCATCTATTTGCCTAATGGAGGTCATAATCTTCTATTTCAAAGTCGATTCCTCTGCCTTGATTGAACCAAGTTTCAGATATAACTATAACACTGAAGGGATAAACAAAGTTCTTTAAATATTCTCTTATTGCATTGAAATTTGTATACATACTTCTGCTATTAAAATGGATAATAGACAGTTTGTCCTTGGTAATGAAATTATTGGAGTATTGTTCATTTGTATAGTAATTACAGTTATTGTTTGTGGTAGAAAGGAAATTGTTATCAGGATCAATATCCTTCTCTACATCGTGCATATTGTACTCAAGTCTCTGCAATAGGTCTGTCTTTGTGTAATTGTCCTTTTGACCACCTATATGTGGTTCAGTACTCATTGTGATAGTATAAGTCAGATGTTACCTTATTTGCTTCCAGATGGTTGATGTGCATTGTGATTACTGATACTTATCCAAGTCCTCAAGGTTTCTTATTGTGAGAATTTTTGGTGCTGACGCCGCTCTGGTAGCTACTGGGGAACTGGTGAAGAGAGGTCTGGAGCTCATGGCCAGCTCCCGCTGTCTGACTCTTCCTCCTCAGGTGAAGCCAACAGACAGTATGGTGTGTCTGTCCCTGTGAAGCACCATCCAGTTCCACTTGCTCAATCTCACCCTGTACACCATCTGACAGTCTTTTCAGTACAGAGTCCGCTCCTCTGGCTCGCTGGCTTGATGGACAGGCCATTTTTCCGTCCAGCATTCTACACCCACACCAGCATGCCAGGGACAAAGCTCCCTCCTCTGCTGTGAGCACCCTGGGCCTGCATCTGCTGAGGCCCAGTTCCTGTTGGTGACCTGGCAGGGTACCTCTTCCTCCTGGCTGGTTCCCTTAAGGTACACCAGCCACACCTGCCACACCTGCTGTCTTCAGGCTGGGGGAACACAGCACATGCTCAACAAGCTATCTGCTGCACAAATTCGTATAAAAACACCCAGAACAGCCTTGCAGAGGAGATTCCAAGCTTTCAAATGAAAATATAAATGCATTGTTGGATTCATAGAGGAGAGGAGCTGGATTGTCTGGACTTTACCTGTGAAGCAGCAGCAGAGGAGAGTCCAGATGAGGACGGAGATCAGAGTCATGTTTCTGATGAGGAGGATTTCTGTGGCTCCTGTTGTCATGAAGGACAGCTGTCAGTCCTCCAGGGTTCAACTCTCAGGACTATAAACTCTCCCAGAGCACTGGAGCATGGTGCTGCTGATGCAAAGTGGCTCTATGGAAATGCTCTGACTGACTCCAGCAGGGACTGGGATCCCTCTGGTCAGTCTGGGATCAGTGGATCAATCAGATTGTCAGAGGATTGATTAGGAATGTGTGTGATGTGTTGATGCCAATTTTAATTTTAGACTAATTCAGATTTGTGGTCTGTGCATAGTGGTTTGTTTCAGCCATGTGTATTTCAACTGATTTTAGACCTACAGATCTCAGGTTTTATTTATGACATGTTTAAAATACAATGAATATGAAATAAATTAATTAATATAGCTTATGTCTGGCACTCTGTGATTGTCTTATCAGCCAGCTGTACTTTGAGGCTGTTTTTGTTGAGCTTGTTGTCAGACTCATAGAGCCGTGTCTCTGCAGTCAGAGGTTTTTGTACGACGACTCAACCAGTTTGTATCACTGTGGTACACGTTTGGTGGAGGAACCAGGCTGGATGTGGGAAGTAAGTTCAATTTTTGATGAATTTTATTAATATGTTAAGATTTTTTTCTCTCTTTCTAAAAGCTGAAATATTTTATTTTATGCAGTAGCTTCTGTTTTTTGCTTAATATTTTCTATGAAGAATCAAAACATCATTTTGAGTTTTATATTAAAAAGATGAATAAAATATTAGAAATGTTTGGTCAGTAGAGAAATCCTGCAGTCACATATCTACATGACAACAACCTGAAGAGTTGTAGGCTTGTTGTTGTCAGACTCATAGAGCCGTGTCTCTGCAGTCAGAGGTTTTTGTACGACGACTCAACCAGTTTGTATCACTGTGGAGGACGTTTGGTGGAGGAACCAGTCTGGAGTTTGGAAGTAAGTTTCTGGTCAAATCTAAAATATTGTAGCATTAATTAAGGTTATATGTAATTTCAGTGTGTGAACATTTGTTTGAGATAAATTTCCACTGGGTTAAATTAAATGACTTTAAAATCTTAGTTTAATTGTTCGATCTTTCTCCCTTTTTTAAAATTGACCTTAAAGCAGCTTTACTGAACTTTTCTTTACATGTTTCCAGTTAATTCATGAAAAGTGAAAAACCTCAACTGCAGGAAAATTAGTTTTACAAATGTAGCCTTTAAATCTCCATTTGGAGCTGAAGTTCAGTTAAAGTCATTCTGGACAATGTGAGTGAAGATTATTCTTTTTTATTTGAGTCAGATCTCGGGTCTCTTTTCTATCAATGTCTTTGAACATACTATAAAATAATTTAGACACTTTTCTAAAACTGAAATTTTTGCACTTTTGTTTAAATATAACAACCTTAACAAAATCATAAAAACTGAAAACAGGTTCCAGCTGTATTTTGTACTTTCTATCAAATAGTTTAAACTGAAAAAAAGCAAAATGCAGCTGCTGAAAAATAAAATCAATTTCTTTAATTTCTAGTTTGACATGTTTCAGGTCAAACTGTGATGATTGTGTCAGTGCTGATGTGCATGAGCGGCTTCTCAGAGGGAAGTGAAACAATGTGTGAGTGAGTGACTGGTGGAGCAGAAACACCATCTGACAGAAACTCCTTAAAGGAGAAAATCCACTCTCACACAGTAAAGGTGTCCAGGTGTCTGCTGTTTGATTGACAGCTGTGTGGTCCCTGTCCTCTAAGCTGATTGGTGTCTCCTAGGTGATGCCCGTCCCACCCTGAATGTGCTGGCCCCCTCCAGTGAGGAGCTGCAGCAGGGGAAGGCCACGCTCATGTGCCTGGCCAACAAGGGCTTCCCCTCAGACTGGAGTCTGGCCTGGAAGGTGGACGGCAGCAGCAGCACCAGCATTAGTGGCAGCAGCAGCTGGGAGGAGAGCAGGAGCCCCGGGGTGCTGGAGAAGGATGGGCGCTACAGCTGGAGCAGCACCCTGAGGCTCCCTGCAGACCAGTGGAGGAAGGTGGGCTCTGTGACCTGTGAGGCCACCCAGGGCTCCCAGACTCCGGTCTCAGAGACTCTGAGGATGGAACAGTGTTCCCAGTCCTGACCAGACTCACTGGGACTCTGACACTGGTTGCACTGTACTTATCTCTCACTTTTTGATTTTCCTTCTGTCCTGTTTTCTAATTTTCTGTAATGTTGATTACTTCAGTATTTCGAAAGAATAAAAATCATTGATCAAATAAATTCTACTTCCATCTGTGGTTTTTATAACATTAACATATAATGATGAGACTTTGTGACTTGATCCTTCCCCCTGGGCTTTGGGGAAGTGTTTATTGAAGTCTTGATGATACCAGGAAGAAATAAGTTAGTTTCATTTCCAGTAGCTCTGTCCATTACTCTTGAAGTGGTGTTCTCTACATTTTAATGAGCGGAAAGTCGACGAGCTGAAACATCTACATAATAATCTTGTGTAGAGTTTCCCTAGATGGAAATGTATGCTATGTTTTTCATATATCTTGAATATATAAGTATTTTGTCCATGTAATGAATCCGTTTCCTGTTTTCAGAGACAGAGCTTGTAAACTGATCATTTGTTGTGTGAGGGACAGAATTGGGCTGAATCCTTGAGGGGTTTTCAGGATCAGAAATATAAAGTCAGATATTGTCAGCATAAAGAGATATCCCGTAACTCTGCAGCACTCTCTCTCTCTGTGTGTGTCTCTGTTTAATGTGGCTATCATATATTTTAACACTATTATTTACTTCTAGCACTGCTGACGTGTTCAGTATTTCATGACTGGAAAGAAACTTTCCTCATGAGTTTATTTTCATCTGGATTTATTATGAAAGTGATACATGTGTCAGGTCCGCTCAGCGCAGCCGGCCTCTCTTCCTAAAGGTAAAGGTGTTGTTGTGCCTTTCCCACCACAGCTGAGATGTTTTCAGCCCAGGTGAGATTCTCTGATGGTGACTCCCAGGAACTCAATGCTGCTGACGATCTCCGCAGCTTCTGTGTTGATGCAGACTGAAATGTGTGTGTTTTTTCTTGATGTCCTGAACTCAACAATGATCTCCTTTGTCTTGCTGGTGTTTAAAACAAGATTGTTGTTACTGCTCCATGCAGTGAGGTTCTACACCTCCTCCCTGTGTGCTGCTTCACTGTCGTTGGATATGAGGCCAATGACTGTTGTATCGTCTGCAAATATTACAATACAGTTTGATTTGTGGATGGGTTGATGTGTAAAGAGTGCATACAGGAAAGAGCTCAACACTCAACCATGGGGGACTCCGGTGTTCAGGGTGATGGTGGGAGATGTGTGCTTGCCCAACCTGACAGTCTGGGGACAGTTGGTGAGGAAATCCAATAGCCAGTTGCAAGTGGAGGTGGGCAGTCCGAGTGCCTGCAGCTTAGGGACCAGCTTAATTGGCCTGATTGTATTAAAAGATGAACTATAGTCTACAAAGAGCATCCTGACATTGGTGTTGGGTTTGTCCAGGTGAGATGGGGCTGTGTTCAAAACTACAAGAGCTAAAAGAATTTGTCGCTTCCCCCCAGCCTCGACTTCTGGACCGAGATCTGTAATAATATCTTTTCCATGACTACCAATATAAACTCACAGCTTATACAAGATAAGACTATTCACAGGACTCACATCACACAAGATAAAATATTTAACATGGATTTTACTGATACAGATACTTGTTCACAATGCACTCTGGCTTGCGCCAATGATTACTTCCATGCTACTTGGACCTGTCAACCCGTTTACTCCCTCTGAGTAGCGGTGACAGAGAAACTCTCCACCATGAGCTGGATCCTAGTATCATCCCTGTCACTGCCTGCTCGGCAATGTCACAGAAGTCGACCACCTACCAATTAAATATAAAACCCACTTCTTATTTCTCTAACTATTGCCAAGAGAACAATCTTTATAAACCGGAAATCTAAAAGCTCATTACACATCAACCACTGGACCAACCTTCTCATGGAACACATCACACTACAGAAAATATCATCCACTCATAAGAATAATATACCAACTTTTACCAACACTTGGAACCTGTTTCTAACTACTTTTAACTAAAACCAGATACCTGAGGCTGAGGCCACGCACATTCCCACAAACTCCTAAAAATATAACGAGCTGCTTGTTAATTCATTGTTACTGTTATTAGTCTTTATTGTCCATGTTACTGTTTTGAGTGTCTTGAGCTGCTTCTGCTGAAGACGTCTGACACACAAGGCAAATTTAAAACATGATTATTTAATATAAAGAAAGTTACATAAAATGTGTAGCCAATAAATCCTGTTTGGTTTCAAATATAAAATATATTTGTTTAAGAACAGTTTGGGGCAATGAGAATAAAATTTGTCATCATATTTTGTAAGATGACTGAAATTAGATTTTATTAAAAATAATTATAATTATATTACTAAATTATATAAATAAACAATTAGTATTTCAGTGTTTAGGGAAAAACTGTGAGATATAAAACAAATATTTACAGATTTAGTGTCCACATGTTGTTATGCTGTAAATAATAAAGTTATC